TTTAATTATTAAATTTTAGTAATCTCTTATAATTATCTTTTAAATATATAAATTTTATTTTTTTATTTGATTAAAAAAATTCTTCTTGTAAGTTTTTAATATTAATATTAATAATCTTAACTTTTAATTTTGAATATAATTCTTTATAAAATAATCATATTTTCTATAATTATAATATATAACTTTAATTTTATTATTTTTTAAGTTATTATTTTTCTTATAATAATTTTTTACTTGATTTAGTTTTATAGATATCAAATTATTATTCTGATAATTTCTATTTTATTATAAATAATAATAATTATTATTATATTTATTTTGCATTTTTAGTAATTTTTTTTATCTATATATAGCAATATTAAAATATATTATTAACTTTTAAATATTTTTTAAGATTTTTAATACTTGATAGCTGATCTCTATTTAATAATAAGTTTTAAATCTTTTATAAAATATATGTGACTTAATTCAATTTAATAAAGAAAATATAATTATTTATAAAGATATTATTAATAATATGATGATTGAAAAATATTTCTAAAAATAGTTATAAATATTTTTTAGTTTTTATATAATATAGTATTATTTATTCTATATTTATTAAGATATTAATGTAAGACTATATCAGTCAAGAAAATAATAATATATTATACTTATATTTTCTTATTTATGATTTCTTGAGCTAGAAATATAGTTTTAACTTGCATTATTATATTTTTATTAGATTTTTCTAAATATATAAATAGTTTAATTAAAAGATAAAATAAGAACTTTAAATCAGAAGAATTATCTTTTTTAAGATTTTGATAAGTTTATTTATGTATTATATAAATTAATCAAATTATTTATCATTTATTTTTGTTACAATTTAAATATTAAACTAAATTATATATATATATAAAATATATATATAATATAAAATATTAAAGAATAATATTTATAATAACTATATTTATTACTATTAAGTTATAAAATTATTTTATTAATAATTATAAATAAGATAAAAGATAATATAAATAGTTTCAATTTATAAACTTATAATTTTATTATTTGAATAATATTCAGATCTAAAATAAAAATACAAAATAGAGAAAACTTATTTATAATGAAAAAAATAAATATAAATGTAAATAAATTAATAATAATTTTTAATTAAAATATATATAAGTTAAATAAAATTAATAAATTTAATTTGTATAACTAATTATAATCTAATAATTATAAATAAAATAAATAATAATATAAATATAATGAAAGAAAAATAATAATTAAAAATATTATTAATTTAAATTAAAAATAGTATCATAACTTGATTGTAATTCTTTAATTGGCTATTATAATTAATTATAATTCTCTAATTAGCTATCATAAGTCATAATTAATTGAAATAATATTAATTTAAATTAATAATTATAATATATATAATAATTATCTATATATTCAATATAAAATTAATTTTTAATAAAAGTAATACAAAAGATATTTCATTATATAGAAAATACAGAATAAAAATTTAATATTAGATAATTTAATTAAAATTATTATATATTACTTTATTTTTTTTAAAATTTTATTAATTATTAATTATTTAAGTTTTAATTTAGAATATCTTACTATAAATTCTTTAGTAATATTTAATAAATATATTTTTCTTATAATATTTATATATTTATTTATATTATATATTATTAAATATATTATTATTTTTTTGATACAAGTATTAATTTTAAAGATAAATATGATTCTTAAACTGTCAAAAATATATATTTTTGTAAAGAATTATAATATAAAGAGATTTTTTATAGTATATTAATAAGAATTTATTTTTTTACTAAAAGTTATCAAAGATTATTTCTAAAGATAGATAATAATAATATTCTTTAATGTGATTAGCTAGAATGTAATTCAATTTTAAAGTATAATTCAAAAATAGATATAATAATTAGTTTATTAATAAGATAAAATAATAGATCTTAATCAAGATTTATTCTACAAAAGATATTTCTTAAAATTCTCTTTATTATAATCTATTAAATATAAATTAAGAACTAAACTTATAGAATTCAAAACTAAATTAAATAAGAAATTATCTAAGCTTTTAAGAATTATTTTTCTTTTATTAGCTAAGATATATTATTACTTTTATATATTTTAGAAATTATATACTTATACTATTTTTACTATGATTTAAATATTACTTTAGTTAATATCATAATATTGATTTATTATAATAGTATTATTAGTTTTGCTATAATAATTTTATTAATTTTGCTATAATAATTTTGCTATGATCATTATATTTATGAAATTATCTAAAAATATCTATAAATAATATTCTTAATAGCTAATGTTCAATAAGATATAGGTAATTAAATATTTAATCATATTGTAATATAAAGTGATCAATAAATAACTAATTAATATTTTACTAAAAATTTATATCACAATAATATTATATTTTTTTAAATATAAAAGTTAATAATATTAATAAAAAAAAAATATAAAAAAATATTAAGAAAGAATAAAAATACAGGATAAAGCTAGTAATATAAGCTAATTATAAAGAATTATTAAATAAAAAAAAAAGCTAGTTATGAAAATTACTAAAAAAAGAAAAATACAAAAAGAATAAAAAAAATAATAAAAAAGAGAAGTTATAAGTCATTTATAATTAACTAATCAAAATTTAAGATCATATATATAATCTAATTAATTAATCATATAAGAATTATATAATTTATAACTATTTTAAGAATAAGATAATACTATTAATAATTAAAATTATGTAACAGTAATTATAATTTAAATATGATTATATAGAATTAAATTTATTATAAAATTAATTGATAAATAAAAAAAGTTACTATATTATAAATATAATTATATTAAGTATAACTATAATAGAATATAATTATATATAAAATAGAATTTTAAAATAAAACAAATAAAAATAAAATAAATTAATATAAAAAAAAATTTTTAGAAAAAGCTATATATATAATAAAAAATCAGTTTTATTAAATAATTATTACCATCTCATCTTATTTTATAAACAAAAATTATAATCTTTTAATAAAAAATATTTTCTAAGCAAAAATAAATATTGCATATACTTATATACAAGAGATTTTTGATATTTTAATGGAATTTATTAGGTTAGATTTGTAATCATTCAGTTAAATTGAAAATAAAATAGCTATAAATTCAATTTTGAAATAAAACGGAATTTTTCCGAAAATCGAATGATCTGATTGAAATAATATTTCGCATCTCGCGATTGGTTTATCCCTTAAAAAAATCACATGATCTGCCATTTCAACATTTTTAATAATCAGCGACAATTAATACATTAGATGAGACATATTCCATGACCGTTACAGTAGAATTTTTCGGGATCAACAGATTTCGTATGTACACCATTTTTCACAGGTGACGCTAAGAAAGTTCAATTAAGCAAAAAAAGGATGTATTTGTATGTATTTTCACATAAAATAATTACAACATTCAATGCTAATTAATGATTTCAATAAATAATATTCTCTAGATTATAAATACGATTAAACTTTATGAAAAAATACTAATAGTACCACAAACTCTGGGAAAGTAAACATTTAATTTGTAATTTTGCGTCACTGTGACTTTGTATATTCGCTTTTTGATACCATTTAAGAGCTTCAAGAATATCTTTTGAAATTCCTTGCCCATATTCATAACAGAGACCAAGTTGAAACATTGCTTCAATATTTCCCGAATTTGCAGAGGTCAAATAACTCTTGAATGCTTTATTCTCATCTTTTTTTATTCCTGTCCCAACTTCATAGCATCTACCAACACAATACTGTCCCATAGTATTACCACCCTTTGCTGATCTAAGAAAATATTGAAATGCCTTAATTTCATTTTTTTTTGTTCCTTTACCCCATTTATAGCAAAGACCAAGATTATATTGGGCGATTTCATTACCCTCCCTCGCTGCTTTAAGATACCATTCAAATGCCTTATTCTCATCTCTGACTGTTCCTCTACCGTTTTCATAACATATACCAAGATTAATTTGTGCGTCAACGTGTCCATTAGTGGCTAATTTGAGAAATAGCTCGAATGCATTAATCTCATCTTTGTCTACGCCCGTGCCATCTTGGTAGCATAGTGCAAGATTATATTGAGCATCTTCATGACCTCGTTCTGCTGCTTTGAGATAACACTCAAGTGCTTTGAGTTCATTTTTAACAGTTCCTTCGCCATCTGCATAACTTAAAGCGAGATTATGTCGTGCTCTAATGTTACCCCCCTCCGCTGATTTGAGAAAGCATTCATACGCTTTTTCACAGTCACGTATGCAGCCAATTGAATAATAATAACAGCACCCCAAGGCATTGATTCCCGATAAATTTCCATTTTCTGCTGATCGAGAATACCAATAATATACATTTTTAGAATTGGCGATTGTCCCGATCCCTTCTTCATAGCATTTCCCTAATAAATATTGTGCATAAGCATCTCCTCGAACAGCCGAGCTTTGATAGTATTGGAAGGCGAGTTTATCATCTTTATTGACTTGAATTCCATAATTATGAAGAAAGCCCAACAAAGTTGTATATTGAAAACTTTCATCGCAGGAATTTATGGAATATTCGGAGGAATTAAAATCACATTCATGAAGATATGCTTTCAGTTGTGTGGCGATTCGGGACAAACAATCGCAAGAATCAAATAGCTTAAAAAAGAGGTTTAATATCTCTCTCATTTTGGCTGAGCTGTAAGATTTAAAGATTGTTTTTAAATAATTCACGTGCAGTGGACGAATCAGCATACCTTTCTACAAACCAATAAGAATGTTAAATTTTTCAAAATACTTTGTACGTGCGTTTTCGCGATCGTCACAAAGCAGAAACTATATTTATTAATCTGTTATCGCTGCACATCTTAAAATATCCTGACATCAAAGGATAAAAATTTATAAATTATTAGATAAACCAAAATTTTCATTAAAAAGTCAATTAATTGACATTTTCACCCAACAATCGACTCAGATTTTTAACCAACAGTTTATTCTCATCCGGCGTACCAACCGTAATCCGTAAACACCCTTCACAGCCAACTTCATTTCCACGATACCTGACCACGATTCCGATGTGTTCTGCCAGTTCTCGATACAACCATCGAGCTCGAATACTAGACGGTGATCGATGAGTTTCATCCAGTATTCGTACCAAGAGGAAATTTGTGTCTTTTCCACCAATTATCTCAATTCCGGGAATGTTTTTTAGAGAAATTATGAGTTTCGCGCGTTCTGAGAGAATGGTAGAGACTTTCTCGTGCATGTTTGAAATGCTTTCGGTGGTTAGTGCTGATAGTGCAGCTTTTGATGTTAGGGTGTTTATATTGTATGGAGCTTTTGTGTTGTTCATTAGACGTATAATTTTTGGGTTTCCTATTGCAATACCTAATCTAATCAAAACATCATAATAAATAAACAGGGAAGATTCGATAATTGATAGAGAATAATGATTAAAAAAAAACCTAATTCCCGCCAATCCAAAGCTTTTACTCAAAGTTTGCATAACGACCAGATTCGGGTATTGCTCAACCCATTTTGCAACACTTCCAATATTATCATCCTCTTTTGTGAAATCAATGTAAGCTTCATCGACGGCCACAATTCCGTGAAGATTAGGATCTTCGAGGAGAGCCTTGATCGAGGAATGATTCAATGCATTACCAGTTGGGTTTCCTGGCGAGCATAGAAAAACTATTTTTGTAGTGGGATTTTTTGATAATGTATCTGAAATCTTCTCAATATAGAATTTATAATTTTAATTTTTTATATTTTTGCAAGAAATTATTTGACATAATCAAATTTGCGTAAATAATATCTCAATGATAAAGGTAAGGCTGTACAAGTAGAAACAAACCACTTTAACGTATTTGAAATATCAAGCTTGAGATTTTATTTATTAATAGTGTATAATAAATAAATTCAATATTTTCTACTTGTGCAGTCTCGGGTGCTCAAAATTATCATTTATACTAATAAAATACCTGTTCATTCTGCAATTGAAACCGATCCTCTCCATCTTCAACCTTCAAATTAACTTTGACAACCTCCACATCATTAATTTTCGCACAGACCGGATACATCCCATACGTCGGGGGCGTAATCAAAATTTTATCTTTTCCAGGTACACAAAATATCCGAATCAACAAATCGATAACTTCATCCGATCCAACGCCAATAAAAAGATGATCAGTCGACGGTACCCCACGAAACTTGACCAAACGTTCTTTGACAAGAGTTTGATGTGGATCTGGGTATCGGTTCAGGTGGTCGTCTATTGGATTATCGGTCGGCGTGTGGAATCGTGTCTCGTCAAGTACTGGTCCTAACGAGTTTTCGTTGGCGTCAAGTAATATTCCGGAAGAGTAGTCGTCCCTTGCGCATCTGTATGGTAAGAGCGATAGTATGTTTGGGCGGACTATTGACTCTAGAGAAAAAGTAGAAAATGACATTTTTCCTCTCCTTTTTTGATTGGATTTGATCAAGTTGATAATCTTGGTTTCAATTGCCAAATTTTGATAGTTGTGTACCTTGATAGTTATGATAGTCCAAAGATTATCACGAAATAAATGTACGAATCATGTGATTTTTAAGGAGTAAACCAATCAAAATACTACTTGAATATTTGTTCTAACTTTGAAACAATATTTATTAAGTAAAATATTGAATAATAATTGGTTGAAAAGAATTTAAAAATATTATAAAACTGAAATTTTTATAATATTATAACAAAATCAAGATTGATTCTTAACTAGTTTAAAAATATTATTCAAATATTTATATAATTAAATTACTAATAATTTTTTATTCAAACTTTTCAAAACTATTCAAGAACTAATTCTAAATAAAATATAATCAAAATTTAAATAAGAATTCTTAAAAAAATTAATATATATAAATATTATATTTATAAATAACAAGACTTAAAATAATATAATTTAATAAAAATATAAATAATAATAAAATTCAAATCAAAAAGCTAATTTAATTTTTAAAATTAATTTAATAAAATTATAAAATAAATTTTTAATTTAAAATAATATAAATTAATATTAATATGTTTTTTAATAATTATAAATAATAAAAATTATATATTTAAGTGATTTTTAATTTTTAAAATTAATATTTATTAATAAATAAATAATTATTTTTTTAATATTTTTTAAATTTTTTATAATATAATAATTCTTATACTTATAAAATTAAATTTATATTAAAATTTATAATTTTATTAAGAAATAATTATGCTAAAATAAAATTAATAATTATATTTAAATATATATATTTTTTGATTTTTTCTAAAAGAATTATTCTAATTATAAAGTTAATATAAAAATTTTTATTAATTAAAAATAAAATTTAATTATTATATTAACTTTACAATTAAAAATAATAACTCTTTCAGAAAAAATTTAAAAAATCTAAAAAAAATATATATTTAATTATAATTTATAAACTTTATTTCAATATAAAAATAAAAAATTATTTTTTAATAATATATAAAGAAAAAATTTTAATTTTTATTATATTTTATTAAATAAATTTAGTTTCTAATATATTATTATAATATTATTATTTTATTTATTGCTACTTTAATTTTCTTGTTATTTAATATATTTTAAAAATTATTTTATTAATTTTTAATTCAAAATATATATAATTTTTCTAATAATTATTAGAAATTATAGTATAAATACTCAAAGAATTATATATAATATATCTTGAAATTTCTCAAAAAATATTTAATATACAACTATCTTCATGTTATGGAATTCAAGTTAATAAGATGATAAATTCGTTTTTTAGTAGTATCAAAATTCAACTAGTCATGAAAATATCTATGCACAATATTTATTAGAGAAATATTATGAAGAGATTGAGATAATTGCAAATTTTAAATTATATAAAGCTGATATTCTCAAGTTAGCGAAAACTGAAGATTTATTAAGGATCAATGCTAAGGAATTTTGTTGCAATTTTCGATTTCTGCATACATAATTTTGAATACGCTCTCAAATTAGCAAAAGGAGTAAATATTATAGCATAATATAATTTCACTCAGAGTAAAAGCTGACAAAGCTGAATCTAACACAGTTGAGTGATATCTCAACTTGGTAGATGTTAAGGGATTTCAAGACAGCAAAAAGCAAGGATAGTGAAAATGTTAAACATAAGCTTGGTCGTTCGTTGTTATAAGTTGGGCGAAGAAGCAAAAAACGATAAAATTAAAGCATTTCAATGCTTCTTTAAATCCGCAAAGGATGGGGCTGATAGATGTTATGAAGTCGGGATAGGAACGAAAAAGATGAGAATAGGGTATTCAAATGTTATCTGGCACTGCAAATGCAGAAATATTGAAGCAATAATTGAAGTTGCTCTCTGTTAGGAACACCCAAGGATGTTTGAAGCTTATCAAAAAGCGAATAAACAAGATCATAGCATAAATGAAACGGATGCTTCGTTTTACTGTCATTTAATTATCGATATACCGTTAAACCGATGATGCTTGTGTTGCTTTTTTGTTCGTCTTAACGGAGACTTCGGATTAACGGGTGTCCTTTGTTAATTATCAATTACAAGGCGTGTTTCGGTTTAACAAGGTACCCGATTTAAGAAGGTTCGGTTTATTATTCTCTGTTTGAAATTAAAATCGAAAATCTTTAAATTACAACCTATTTTAAGTAGTAAAGTATAACGATATAAAAAGATTTTCCCTGCTCAAGCCGACTTTATATGTTGGTAATATAGTTCTAATGAAGGTTCTCTCAAGCTATTCCCAAATTAATACTTTACTTAACATGAAAAAAGAGAGTTTTTTGAAGACTCAGAAAAACAAAAGATGATATTGATGCTCAATACTTTCTGGTTCGATATTACGAAAGACGGATCAGTTAAAGAATTACTGCAAGAATGAACTACCATGGCAGTCCGAACCGTCGCTAGGTTTCATGTCCTTGATTTCAGACATATGTTTAGATCTTTGTTTTTTCAACATAATTTGGTTTCAATATAAAAATATAAAATAAACATAAACATAAAAGTATACACACACCAACCACACACGTTCTTGTTTTACGTTCATTGCTTATAGGCAGACAATAGACTCACTCACCTCAGTTAATTAAAGGTTTAATTAATCCGCGTATTTTGAAACAGCATGTAAAGAGAAGGGTACTCATTCAATTTGAAAATATCACAATGAATAATTTATTAATAGAAATGGGAAAAACATTTCGTCAAAATATATATTAATAATAGTAATCATAATAATCGAATTCATGCGTTCTTTTTGGGAGGGGAGGAAGGAATCTTCGTTGCATTGAATCTTTCCTCTCTCCTATTTTTTAATACATCATTATTAATTGTGGTTGTTTTCGCATTTGATACTTTAAGAGAATCTACACATTTACTATGACTTGAACCCACTTATTATAACAACGTCATTATCGTTTATTACGCATGTATGTTTTTTTTATTGAATTGGAAATTCTCACATTTTGTGTAAATAACCGAATTATTAATGGGAATCGTTTTGTTCAAATATGTTAATCGCTTCCGAAAATCCAAGATTTTTCATTTACATTGTTTATTCGGGACATGATTTTCAGAAATTCTCGGAAAAAACTCGAGTCGTATGTTTTTTGCACAATCGAACGAGTGAGTTCTCACCGCAATTGTGAAAAGGGGACAAATTGGGGACAATTAATTTTTCGCCAATTCCATTTTGAAATTTAATAAGAAAGAAAGCACGCTCACTTGACAAAAAATGTTTTAAACACAACCACAGCAGCTACCATAATGACATAAAAGCAATAGAGAGAAACAAGGGAAGTCAATGCGTCGTAATTCTCATACAAAGGCATGTTATCTCCAAAGAGAAGATGATTGCTTGCTTATGTTGGGTGGTTCCGACTTCCATATACGTAATAATTTTGTGCGATGTATAATATAATAAAATTCTAGACCATCCTAAAAATTTAAAGCTCAACAACGGTGTAAAAGAAAAATCAATTCTGATTGGTGGTTGTCATGAAATTTGGCGAATCGATTGGTTACCCTATGAGTCCTTTCTTTTTCGAATCGGATAAAATTCTAATTCTAAACAATAATGCAATGCTTATGTGACAAGTATAACGTCAATGAAATTAAAGATGTAAGCAAATTAATAATACTAAATATATATATATATATATATATATATATATATATATATGACACTGTAAAGAATTAATAATCCTCCAAAAAACGTTACACAAATCAACGTGATAGATATGCGTGCATCTATGAGTAACGATATGCACAAACTGAGAAGAAAAAAATCCCGTCGAGATAACTTGAAATGAAATACTTATACAGGCTGTGAATGGTGTCATTTATACTCAAACGTTTAAAGAAAACAAACAAAGAAGGAGGATATCGCTTCTTGTTCGCTAAAAACAAAGTGTAAATAAAGAAATGAGGATTCCAAAGAAGAGTATTTTTCATGTTTCGTCACAGATATGACCATTGCATCGGTAGTTTTTGGTAAAATCACACCGCCGCGGCGATATGTAACCGCGGCGATATGTAACATACCTAGATCGACAGCGTCTTTTGCCTAGTCGTAAAATATGTAATTTTCCCGCTTTTCGTGTTAATCCAATTGGCTCTGCCAATCTTCTCAACCTTAATTCGGAGCAATGCATGCATTTAATTTTTTTTACTAAAATAACGACATACCATGTAGAAGTATTAGTGTATATATCTACATGCCTGTCATACCTCCTGAACCACCATATGCAATGCGTCAGAAAAAATCTTTTTCGTGCAACTTCGGGGTTTTTTTTCACGCAATTTATCGTGATTACAGTATATTTTATTCTATAACCTAATATATAATCGTAATAGTAAAACGATAACCACATCAACACTATAGCATTAAGATAAAAATAAAAATGATTATGTAGCCAAACCCAAGTTTAATTGAAATTCTAAAATTAGTTATTGCAATTTTAGAATAATCCAATTAAAAATTGATTTTAAGATTTTAAAATAAAAATAAGAAGACCGAAATTAAAACTTCAAGTCTATATATATACAGCAATATTTATCACTCAAAGACAGAATAAAAATGGTCAAAAATGAGGTCATCAATCATCTTTTCTTGTACGTTTGAAATTAATGAATGAAGAAATATTATTTATTAATTAATTTGAAGAATACTTTTATACCCCTCATATAAAATAAATTAATTACTCGACACTAAAAAGCACGAATCCTCAAAGAATCAAGTTTATGTGTGTTTTGTTGTTGGGGATGTATTGGTGGGTGATAAAATTACCAAAAAGAGCATCATTTCCTATTTGTCATCGGACTTTTTACGTGATTTTAATAATCATTCATTTATTTAAAAACGAAACCTGTAATTAGAGCATATTTGAAATTGATCTTTTTTATCTAAAACACCGAATAAGAAGAGTTCGGAAGATTTTTGTTCAGGTTAGGAGATAATAACATAAGCAAAGTATTTAATAATACATCACGTGTGCAACATACAGCGTAATCTTTTTTCTAAACCAACAAAAATGACACGTTCGTAATTAATTAATAAACAAAAATTTCAGGCATGCGTCACAAGTAAAACCAGACTAGGCGAGTAAGACGAGTAAACACCTTTTACACTCTCGAGTCTCATCTCTTCGAGCAAGAAAGGTTTCATTTAAGATGGAGAATAATAATGAAAATCGTAAATGGGTAACTTTTTACATTAGTCATGTTCTGCACGCACGCATAAAGTTCATCACCCATCATTGTCATTCAGTGGAGTGATACGGGAAAAATATCATTTATGCATTATGTATCATTTATCGTTATATGTATACTTATATATATACATATATATAGATATATGTTCTATAAATTTCGTCGATGATTTCATAGCGACTTTAACTCATTGTTGTTACGATGCCTCAGCTGTATGTATAATTATTTACGCTGATGGAAATGCCCAAGTTTACTAAATTGAAGATGTCTATGGAAATGTTATTGAATTCAATGAATCAACAAGATCTTGTTCCTTTGTCTTTTTGCGGAGACAGGTGTAGGGGTGATCATTGTTGAAATTGCTTTTTTTGCGACAAGCAAGCGGACCATTTATTTGCTGCACAAAAATAAAATGATCATCCCATTTAATTGGTTCGCACGCATATGACGGAACATTATCAAATAAAAAAAAAGAATGAATTCAGTTGAACATTGAAATTTCGAAGAGCGGACAAAATTAAACTCTCGGGGTTCATCGCACAAACACTTAAAATGCTACGCAATATTTTCCTCGTCCAACCATTAAGTGGGATTTGGTGATGTCGGTATCAATAGAATTATCGAATGCAAAGAAAATGACCAAACTCATAAGTTGTAGGGAAACTTTTGAGAAAGGATGGGATGCGTGCGCGCGGGAATACTCCCATAATTAATTAAACCTTATCTGTTTATGAACCCGTGTTAAGGCGGCACAAATAACCTCAAGACGACGATGATCACCAATATCCGATTCCGAAATTGGAGAATTGCATTGGCTCGCTTTATCTGACAAATCTTATTCAAATAACGTAATATTTATTTTTCGGTTATTACAAATACTGATAATAATAATAAACATAAATCATGAAATGCATACTAGAGAAGAAAATCTCTCATATCACGTCAACAACATCGGCAACATCACATTCCATTCGCTCGAATAGCCAGAGATAAAATTAAATCTACATCATTGTTACTATAACCGATATTTTCCGACGACACGTCCATGCATGAATGAGATTATGTATTCATTAATCGATTATTTAAATACTTTGTGGGATTTTTTATTGATGATTATATACGTGCATTTATCTTCCCTCCCTTGTTACTATATATGGTCAAACCTCGATATATCAACACTTCCGTTATAACAATGACTAATTAAACAATGTTTATGATAAATTTCTTGAAGAGAATAATCCGTTAATCCGATTAACGATCGTATTTGTACATGCGAGTTAGATCATATTATTTTTGAAAAACTCCGATATAATAATATATCGACAATAGTGGAAGAAAGGAGAAAATTGAGTGATTGCACTGACAAACTACTTTTTCTTTCTTTCTCCGTTTGTGTACACACACGCAAATGTATGAATGAAAACGCCACTTACCCGCTATACATGTAACTAACGTCGCATAATAATACTAATTACAAAGGTAATTGGAGAAAAGAAGTCTCCGAAAGAGACACAAAAAAAGTTAGGCGAAAGAAGCCAAAAAGGAAATCAATAACTTACTGATTTAACACAAATTAATTGATTAAAGTTACGTCTATAATTTAGGTTAATCGAGTTAACTTTAAATCAAGCTGATTGACTAAGTAACGGGGAGTTCTTGAACTCTGAAATTATATCCGAAAAGCACGTACATAACCGAAATAAATCTCCGTGCATATGTGTGCACTGTCCTTGATGCGAAATATCACAAATGGGAGAATACATTATTGACGCATATGAGACCCTTTCACGTTAGAGCAATGGATTTTCTCTTAATGAACACTCGGGATGCGTTTAGCATAGTATAAGAAGAATTTGCCTTGACCATCTTTGATGATTCTCGGGAAGAAAGAATGGCTTGCTTCTTCTTATTATTATTAGTATTTGTAATCTAGTCTACAACCGTGTAGCACAAAACACTAAATCTAAAGATCGAAAAAAAAAGATAATTCTAAGGCATATTTGTATACAAAGATTATCAATGAAAAAAAAAGATCACGCGGAAAAGGTTTATTCTTCCTGATGAGTTTTCTTAAGAACAAAAGAAAATTCTAACTACAGTTAAAATTTTTCGTATTTTTCTATGAGAGATTCGAACATAGAAAGAGAATGTAAAATACTAATATAGATCAAAAAACAAGATTCGCTTATATTTGGATATTTACTTGATTCTATGACGTTGATCCTGGTTCGATCTTGACTGACACGCGCGTTGAACCAAAGCGACTCGAGATTCATGTGATAATAATTGCTTTGCTGATATCATCCATTATTATTATTATTATTATTCGGTGACAAAAATTTTCTAAAAACAATAAATATTTATTTGGTTTTCTTGTAATTATATGTTGTGAATTAATTAAAAAAAAGTTATCACCGTTTCGTTTTTGGTTTGTCGTGGAAAGTTTAAATTCTCTATGCAAACACATTTACTTGAATTGCCAAGACTACTATCCCTAACGTAAATAAATAACGCATAACGTAATAATTAATAAACTTTTTTCACAGTCACACACAGAAATACATAACTTATCAAATCAAAATCTGATAGTTAAATCAATTAATATAAATAATTTGTTGATTGGTTTGTCTATTACTAATTGATGGGAAAATAAAGTGAAAATTAGTATAAAAACAATATATAAATATATATACATATATATAAATGATATGATTGACAAAATAAACAAAAATGATAATTTTTTTATTTATTTATTAATAATTGTCTGTGTGTTATATTATATTCTTCATATATTTATATGTCGAAAATCTCTCGATAAAGTTATCATTTTGGTTTGGGCTTGTAAGGAAGTACAAAAACGTTATATATATATATATATACACATAGAGTTTGTTTCTTTCGAGAAATAAATTTTTCTTTTCTGATTGAAATATCGATATTCCCTTAAATACTACTCGCTAGTTTAGCGTTCATTGTTAATCCTTTCGCGAGTAAAGAAAAAAATTTTTGAGATATTCCCTTTGTTGACACAACATCTGATTCAATTCACACAAATAATAGTAATAGTAGTTGTAAAAACAATATTGACGCAAAATTCATCAATTCAAATAACTCCTTCAAGAAAGGTACGATAAATATTTATTTATTTATAATATATAAATAAATCAATATACATATATAAATGTAGATGTATATATATTAATTTAATCCTAATACTGTTAAAGAAAAAAAAGTATAATTTAAAAGTTTTCCATTTATTTTATTTATCTATCGATTTTTTGCCTTTTCTTAAAGAGTCGCGTACTTAAACATATACTATTCCGATATTAAAATTACCCTTCTTTTCCACACCACAAAATAATTGAATTCGAATGTTTGATTTCATAACGGTGAAAATTTTCACAGACACAAACATTAAACAGTTCAATTGTACACCTTCTTTTTTTTTTTCAATTCTTCTCTATTTCTTGTAGCAATATATCTCTTTTCACTCGCTTATTAACAAACAAATAAACAAATACACATATGCTTATCACCTACCTCTTCAAATACAGGAAAAAAATCTAACCGACTTCCACTCTCACCTATTACCAAATTTTTCCCTCGACTTCCGACAAACCATAAAAGTATGGGTTCTCCATTGCAGACGGAACCTCATTTCTCACTATCACCGTATTCATTGAACGACACAAATAATATAACATCTCACCCAAGTTCGAATAATAAAAACTTTTCTGCTACTAATAACAGTGGTTCTAATAACAATAAAAGTAATATATCTTTAATAACACCCGGAACATCAACTCCGTCGTCGCCCTATCATAAACAACACCAAAAAACGTCAATATTAGACGACGTTGGACTATACTCTTCACTACTTTACTCACCTAACTACTCGACTTCTCGTAATTCCACTAATAATAAAAATCCACCTTCACCGGACAATACCAATACTACTATTAATATTAATACTAATAATACTACTACCACCACTAATAATAATACTAATAATCATACAACAAAAAATAATAATAATAATAACAGCAACAGCAACAACAACAACAGCAACGACAACAGTAGTAACAACAACAACAACGAAACTAATATTGGTTCCTCGATAATGGGATTATCAAGTATCGATGCATCCGCTTCTGTCTCATCATCAACTACTTCATTTGACCAAAATGGAATATCTGTTGTCGCTTCTGCAGCTCTAAAACGAACAAACAAGACACACGTCCCCAGTGCGTGTGTCAATTGTAAACGTGCTCATTTGGCTTGTGATGGTATGTACTTCAATTTCCCTTCTACAATATGCATATAATTATTCACCGGGGGGATTTTCCTTTTGCATCAATAAACAATTTCGGAAATTTTTTCAATCTCCGTTTTCATCGTTAATTAAAAATCATTTTTCTAATTAGTATCGAGACCGTGCAAACGATGTGTAGCGCTTGGGAAAGTAGACACATGCATCGATATTAAACATAAGAAACGTGGTCGTCCCAAATTAAAGGATAAGAAAACTTATCCATATAACACTTATCCAACTGCCGATGCAAAAACATGGGGTCAACCACAGCATCAGCATCAACATCAGCACCAGCATCATCACCTTCATCCTCATCCACAATCACAACAACATCCACCACCACCACCACCACCTCCTCCTCCTTCAAATAATCAACAAAATCTCTTTCATTTCTTGCCTAAACAGCAACAATCACCTCACGCTGAATCACAATCTTTATCTAATTATTCGTCATTTACGACACCACCACCGCCGCCAATACCATCATCAGCCCAGCAATCAGCACAAATCTCGGACATTCATCAAAATCGTCAACCTTTTCCTCCTGCTTATTATCAACGTTCACCAAACTTGAGATCACCTAAATTTATTTCAATACCTTCATCGGCAAATAATATTGCTTCCCCTCCTCATCCTCCTCTCACACCTCCATCATCTTTTCTTCGATCGCTACAACCTCAATCTCCATCTCCACCTTCAATGCCACCGCAGCAACCAGTAACAGCGTCACCATCATCTACGATAGCACCTCCCCTACTATCAGAAAATTCATCGGTCATTACAATGTTCCTTACGGTATACGGAGTTGCAGCACGTGTCTCTGATGAATGTTTAGGTATCATGGGATTCTATCCCACCGAACTCGCACAAAAATCGTTGCTTGATTACGTGCATCCACAAGATTACGAGAGAATGCAAAAATTAATCAACTCACTAATGGAGAGAGCTCATGAATATAACGAATATCACCAACATAATCAAAATTACCCGCCATCTCACCATCAATTATATTCAAACTTTTCTGGGACATCAACCATTAATCACGGTAATAATGGTAACACTCACCCACAATCAATCACCGCAAAAGATTCGAGATTCTATACCGTTACCCCGAAAGAACTAATGCATTCCGCGTTGATGATGAATGGTAGTGGTAATGAACGAATTGAAGCTACGGATTATTTCAATCTTCAAGCACGTAACGGACAATATGACTATTATAGTGTTCTAATGTATCTCGGGGGTGGATTGGGTGGTGATTTGTCGCGAAAAGAAACATGGGGTAACTTGTATATCGTCGGATTATTCACGAGGATAAGGCAAAACACTGGGCTGTCGGCGGCAACTACTGCTATTACATCTGCGATCCAAAATCATAACAGTTCTTTCACGCAACATCATAATTTTCCAAATATTCCACCAACGATGATTAGCAGTAATAGTGATGGGGATCATTTAAATTCACCAACACTATCGCCGGCAATTGATCCATCACTTCGTGAGCATGATCACTCATTACTGAGTCGATCATACACCTCAGAACGTAATCAAACGTCAAAAGAACAGTTAAACTATCAAACGTCACGTTATTCTTCTCTGTCAAATCAAAATCAACATCAACATCAACATCAATCACATTATCTACAATCACCCCAAACGCCAATATCTACAGACACTTCGCCCCTTTTATCACGTTCAAATATTCCATCCCCATTAAGTTTACATGCCGAAAAAAGAATCATTTCTTCGTTTAATCCTCCGATTCCGACGCCAACTACCAGCATCGATCCTGCTTTGACACTTTATAATAGTAAAATAGACATAGGTGATTCACCACCCAAGGAATATCCTCCTGTTTCCATCATGTCGCCGGTATCTTCTGAGCGTGTATATCGTCACCATATCAATCAACGACAGAAGCGACACTCCAGTATGGAGAACATTCCGCATAAACCTGATAGGCATTTAAAACATCAACCATTAACTCCGACTTACGAGCACCATGATAACATAGCAAATCCAAACACTAGAATGAGCCATGGTGATGCCACCAGTACCATCCGTCCCATCACCACCACCTCCCCCTCTTCTACCACAACAACATTAAACCATTTATTTGGAACACGATCAGTAGTCAATGAATTGAGCGTTGTTGGTGATGATGAAGATGAATCTACTACACGCATGAGCGTGAATTCTTTATTGTGTTCTTAAAAAAAAATAACTAGTAAAATATTGTATTAATATTATAGTAAATAATTGGTAGATTTTTTGTTACAATTTTTGGGGGGAGAGTCACATTATACAAAGTGAGTTTCGGCATAGCAGTCGACCTCTTACCATCTTTCATTTATTTTTTGTTTATATTAGTAATATCGATATATACCAAAAATATAATAACACATCCTTAAAATAGTAAATAATTCAATAAATAACCTTTTCTTTGTATAAAGTTAAATAGTAAAAATCTAATTTTTTTTAATGATAGTTTCGTGTATTATACAATAAAATTTTGTACATTAATAATCCATTTGAATGACTTAACCTGAACTACTTCTCGTCACATTATCCAGTCTAAACAATTTTTTCTTTAAATTCAATGTGTCACGCCGATCTTGCACGTCGTTCGATTGACGCGGTTTATGTTTTTTCCATTATAAAAAAGAAAAATGTGTTGCACAAACATTGCCGTCCTTCGTTCTCTTTGTTCTGCGTGAGAATTACAATGTGCCTTTAAAAGGTCCCTTGTGTAAAATAACCTACCGATTTCCTTACTAATCGTGGAATGTGAAATACCACGGATCTTTTAAACGGCACCGCACAGCGGTGCGCCCTTAGGAGCCGGTAAATATCGGTAAGTATTAAGAGAAAGCGGGCGCTGGATCATCGATAACTAAAAATCGACGATTATGATACTCTACCCGCAATGAAAATGAATAATTAATCGTGCAATTCGAATTTTTCCGGAGGGGGAGTATCATTATTTTTATTACCAAAGTTGTATATTTGTTTTTTTTTCTTTCAACAAATAATGGGGATAATTGGTGGTTATTATTAGTAATTTCAGTTTTTCCTTTCCTTTTCTCCGTACATGTTTGTAATATTTGTTTGTTCTCTTTATCTTGAAGAAAACAAGTAAACAACCTGATTTTAATTAATCTAATATTAATTGAAGCAATTTTAGGATTTAATTTTAGGAAAAAGCAGCCAACTCGGCGTAATGCACTCACGGAAATCATAACGCCTTTTTTAGTTTCTTAGATTAGAGCGACGCCCCGAGAAGATAATCATTTATATTATTCTATTTTTTCGCGGGAACATAGATGAACAATCGGAGTCTCTTAAACGCATCACGCGTTATTCCTCATCCTTTTTTTAGTCCTCTTCTTCAACGAGTGAACTTGCATTAATTGATTGAAACGGTTTTAATTAATTATATGGAGAAAGCGACCTAGATTTTTTTGGCTGGAATTATATAAAAAGATGTTCATGTGAAATCTAAATCTCCAATAAATAGGGGGGTGGGGGTAAAAGTGACTTCTATAGCTAAAAAAATATTCACACACCTATCTACGCGCTATATACGCCCAACATAAATTCCCCGATATATAACAAAAATAAACAAACAAAAAGTAATTTTCCGGGTCATTCATTCATCTCGTTGATTTATTTATGCATAAAAGTATATATATGATACATGCATAAACAACAACGATATTTAACAAATAATTCATCAATTTATTAATTAAATAAATTAATGATGGTCCTCATCATTTGAATTTCAATTAACATGAGACCCGCTCAATATGTCCCCACGCCCATCTTTTAAGTTGACAGCTTTTTAACAAATACGCAAAAAAAAGTTAACTGAGCCAAATTGATAATACAAAAAGGTTGTTTTTCATCTTATATGACCAATCGCTGATTTTTCTTGCTCATGAGGATCTAATTCTCATTGTTCTTGCATCAGATAGAAAGATTAACCTTTGCAAATGTGTTACGTATAAACGAGTCAGTCTCGCCTGAACCCCAAAGAATATGACTTATGCACATCATGATGAACAACAAGTTCATTCATTATGATGAAACAACCCAATGTTCTAAGGGATCAGAGTGAAATTTTCAAATATCACATCTTATTGTCGGGTGATAACAAATGTAAAACTCCCGATTGGGCGCACAAGACGCTAAATAAATAATAATCCCAACTGGCCAATTTTTGTAGTCAAAATCGGGATTATAGAGCCCGAATGTTAATGCGAATCTTTGTCTTGAATTTAAGCATCAATAACAATCAAAAGCAAGGTTTGTCTTGTTAATTCAAAGTAATTTGGAGATAGCAGCAATGTTTAGATTCATTTTTGCAACCAACAAACCTTTCTTTTACATCCACATAGAATCTAACACATAAGAATGATCGAATTTTCACACCTATCTGTCATCCGGCTTCACGACTGAATTGTGTTCCGTGTTACCATTACAATTAGATCACCAAAATCTAGACCACGACCTAGACTCTCAAAACAAGACTCGAATTCGATTAATAATTAATCAACACGCACGCACAAACTTTAAGAATGAAATTACAAATTCAATATATGCATTTATTATTGATCTTCTTGACTTTTGCGTAAAGCTTTGATTGATTAAGTTTAGTGTTGGTGTTTGTTATTCGTTCAGGCTCAGATCAAAATATTTAAAAAAAGAAAAAAAAACACTAACATCACAACACCATTTGAACAGGAAAAAAAGGAAAGGCAAAAAAGATTGTGTATCGGTATGTATGCCGTAAAAGTCATGTACTCTAATTAATTGATATGCGGATTTCGCATTGATTTTTCATTTATTTACGCGTCACCATGTTTTCTCTTAAAGGATCGTACAGCATTCTTTTCTTCAATATCGTATGATTTTCCTCGAATTTTCGTCATGTAAAGAAGATCTCTATCAATATTAATAGAATTACCTACATTTTGCACCCACAAACCTAGAAACATTAATTTTTTGGACCTAAATGTGCGACAGTTCTCTCAATTTGGCATAGTTTGTATGACTTGTGTCACACACACACACGTAAGAGAGAATATTCCGAAATGCATTGTTTTCCTTTCCTCAAGATTATTCCCGATTACACGATGATGGCAGTTTTGGAGTTGGACCTCAAAGTTTATTCTCCGAATTTCATATTTGACTTACCGTAAATGGCAAACAGAAATACTGGTTCTCCTTAACAATAACAATATAATAATAATAATAATAATAATATCATTCCTATTTACCCGCATGCATACACTTAAAATTGACATGAAACCAAAAAAAAAGAAGCCCATTCCTGGTAAGTAAAAAAAAAAAAGAATTACGTAAAGAAAGATAGGAAGAACAGAACATCTAGCGTTAGATCGACTTTACATACCAGAAGGAGGAGTCTAGACTCTGTCTTGACAAATTCTCCGTTACAATATAAACTTGGGGGATTCATTAAATAAAAGAGCGCGTCAATAAGTATTTATTAATTAATCTACAACATGCAGCGGCGCACAAGTTTACTGATGCAGTGAAGCAGAGGCAGCAAAGAAACACGTGAGAAGGTCAATTCCGATTCATTGGGGTTGTTTCATCCTTTTTCGGGTAAGACGAGAATAATAATATGGTTAACGTTGATGCAATTTGACAATCGGTCACTTTTCTGAACATTTGATTACTTAACTCTTTTATTTGACAAAATTAGTTGGTCCGTGTTCACCATTACATGTAGCTCATTGTTGCTTTGAGTAATTGTGTTTATTACGAATTTTTTGGTCAGATTTGCAATTTTTTAATCATAGTCATGATCGATCAAATCTTGAAGGAAGAGAGGAATAACTCTTATCAGTATGAGCTTAATATGATCTTTCTATTAAAAATAACGCGGAAAGAAAAAAAAATATGTCGAATGATCCCGAGATTAGGCTTGTATTAGTTTAACGACAATGGTTTCTCAGGAACGACTGTGGAGTGATGTTATTTGTTGAGTTGGCGGCGTAATTGGTTCACATCGCTGGTTGACGCTAGGCTGGGAATGGGTGAGCAACACGTAAGATTAGGAACAGCAGCAACAGTTGAAAGATTGAAAGAAACCCATCATTTTATTGAAGAAATTGCAGAAGAGTGTGCTTGATTCACAGAAAGTAAAAGGAGTTGATTACAAGCAAGAAACTACAAGAAAAAAATCGGCTTTTGTTTTTTTGATAACAACAAAAAGGACAGAGAGTTGTTAGCGAAAACCTCCAATATGTCCGTATAGAAGAATGAAGTTATCGTTTGTGATTGTCCTCGCTTTTTTTCTAACCAGTTGAGCACATTAACGAGCATAATTATGACACATACACATAGCGTAGGTATATTTGATTTTTGTTAGATATTTTTTCTCAGAAAATCGATATCTAACAATTTTTATTATCCTGTTATACTTTTACTAGAGAGAACAATCACACATCCTTTCGATGGGAGAAGAAGACTAGCAGGGAAATTAATAAGTGTTGAATTTCGAATTTTATCTAATAAATATTTTTTATTGTTTGCTAATTCTTGTATACAGATATGAACCGTTGATCATTTTATCATCGATTAAGTCATCGGTTGAATAGGTGCACACGTGAAATAAAGGTCATAATTCACATCATTCTCGAAAAATTAACCGAATTTATGTGTATGTATAGAAATTTAAATTTGACGAGTTGGTGTGCATCAACCGACAATATTCGGTAGGCGTGAAGTAATTGCATTTTTTTCACGATTATTTCAACATATAGCAAGATCGAGTATCTTGCTCTTTATAATCTGGTGTATCATCCGGAGATTTATCACAATGAGCGGTTCTAAAATATGAGATCGTTGACAATATTGAATATCCAGAAATAAAAAAATCGCGCTATTAATTTTATTTTTTTTTATAATTCATCAATGAAATAGAAAGATAAAGTAAAGGGATAGGGGATTGTTTAAAAATAAATTGTATTGAAAGATAGGAAATTAAAATTTAATTATGCGTAAATTTATCAATAATTTGATAAACTATCATAAATTAGAACGAGAAAAATTAATCCTTCCAAAAGATAGAAATTTTTATTAAGCATCAAACACATAAAAATATGATATCCAAAAAAAAATCAAATAAAATAAAAAAAGATCTTATTTTATGAAAATTGTAGGATCTAACAACATAAGTCGAATTTAGATAAGAAAACCAGCAATAATAATAATTAAAAAATTATCAGGGACAAAAAATGGTCGGAAAAAGTATAGGGATTCAAATAGTAATAGTTGGAAGTCCGTGGGACCATTCGAGTAAACTGTAAGAGTGTATATTTTTCTTTGGTGGTTAATTGATTAATTGAAGGAGGTGGTTATTGTGGATATTTGAAAAATGATTTTTAAGGGAAAAGGCTATGAATTAAAAATTGAAATATATAACAACAAACAAGCAATATTTACACATAATAGCTTAGAGGACAAAGAAGAAAGCTGAAAGTAAGTTAAACGAATCTAAGAGACAAAGATGTTTACAAACAGAATGTATATAAAAATAAAAGAGAATTTAAAAGGTGTTAAAAATCCAAGAATCATTGAAATATAAAAAGATAACCTTAGGATAAATTCTATAAAAATGTTGATAACCATCATAACTACATTAATGACCGTTTATTCTACCATCTTTTCTGATCCCTTTTCAATTTCCTTCTCTCCTTCTCTATCCCATTCTCTTCTTGATTCCCCTTCTCTTTCTTTCTCTCTTACAGTTTTTCTTTCCCCTGCTTCATCTTCATTCTTTGTTGCGGCTTCCGATGTTTGTGTCTCTGGTTCTACCTCAGCTTCATTGTCTGGATCTGTATATGTATCCGCACCTATTTCTTCTTTAACTTCGATGTCTTTTTGTATTCCTCCGACGTGTTTTAATCCAGCTTCAGCCTCTGCTTCTTTTTTCGCTTCTCCATTGGTGTCTGTTTTATCCTCAGCCTCAGCAGCATCATCTGACTTCGCATCTTGAAATTCCGCTGCAGCATTAGCGTCTGCTTCTGCTTCAGCCTCCGCATCATCTTCAGCTTCAGCCTCTACTTCCTCCTCTGCCTCGTCCACATCCATCTGATCTTGTTGCTGCTCGTACTTATGAGCTCTTGAATTCTCTCTAGCAATCCATTTCTGAATTGCATTAATGATATATTGATCTTTTGGCACAGCGACCCCGCGAATTAATTTCGACATAGTGCCTTGAACAATAGCCGTCTTTCCGTTGGACAATTCATTTAATTCAATAGCCAATTTTTTCTGTGAAATTTTGTCATATGCAATACGTCTTTCATATACAGCTTGAAAAGCGGCAAGCAGGTCTGAATCAAATGCCGCTTGTTCTTCTGGACCAAGGTTACTAGGAGACAACGCGGCATTTTCATCTTCATTTCCTTCGTCGTCTTCACTTTTAGCAGATATCTTTGATCTAGCTGACCTTGATCTTCTGTGTCTTTTACTGGGGCGTGTACTTGACGAATCAACGGTTAATATATTCTCTTCCGCAGCTAGATTATCATCGCTTTTAGTCCTAGATCGTGAATTACGTGCTCTAGATTTCGTTGAAGTGATTCTTATTTTAGCAGAATTGTTATTATTCGCTGCTGAAGATCCAAAACTATTAGGAGCAGACGATTGTTGTCTTAAGATATATTGTTCATCACCCGAGGGCATCTCAACATCAGCTGATGGAATTCCAGTAATCACTCCCATTCTCATGCACGGTGGAAGGATTGTTTGTAAATCGAAAAATGCTTGAGAGGCTTTGACTGACGCGCCGAATGCATTATCATATGCTCTAATAACCTTTAAA